GATTTTTTTATCAATTTCGTCCTTGTTTATTCTCATTTTATTTTCATTTGATTGAGATGGAAATTAAAAAAGGTAAATAGAGTATTCCAATGTTTTTCCCCACCTTCAGGTGTAATCCACCATTTGGTTAGATCTAATGACTTGTTAGGGTCGACACAATTTACAAATATTAGTGAAATAAGTCGTATTAAAGGAAAAACTCAAACATGCATATGGTTTAGAATATGTATAAGAAAATTTTTAATTAATTTATTATATAATAATTATTAATTTTTAGTTATTTTTAATAATTAAATTAATATTTTTAACATAATTTTAATATCTTAATAAATAAATAAATTACTAATCATAATTTTTTTTTAAACAAAGTGCCAAGGATAGGATTCGAACTTCAAACTCATTAAGAGAGGGAGAATTGCATCTTCAAGGTGATTTGAAGGCCACTTGATCAGAAGGGTCATGTGCAATTGAGAATCATAATTACACCAAAAAAAAATAGGAGATCAACATAATCTTCTAACTAACAAAAACATTAGCTGTAAATAGCGCCAAAGATTTTCCTTTAGTAAAAAATAAAAAAGATAGATTTTTCACAATAATTACCCTTAATACGTCAATGTCCTCAGTGTCGTGAAAAATGAGAAATTGTTTCTTACAACAAGCACCTAACGTCAATTATATTTTCATTTATTAGTATAGTAATATATTTACATATATGTTTTTATTTGTAATTAAATAATTAATAAATTATAATAAATTAATCTTTTAAATTACAAACACAGAGCATGCATCTTTACGTCTCCACTTTAATCAATAAAAATAGGAATTTTTTAACTTGCATTCTTCAGATATTAGTTAAGTTTATTTTTCATTATCAATATAGAAAAAAATATAAAAATTAATATTAATTTTAATATCAATTAAATTTAATTACATATTTGATAAATTATAAATTAATTTTTATTTTTTAATATATATTTATGATAAAAATATATATTTAATATATTCTTAACTTAACTTGTACTTATAAAAGTATTACTAACATAATATTTTGTTGTATGAAAAAA